ACAAACAAGAGTACGACTAGCCACACATGTAACTTTTGGTTGCCTATTTAAGTAGTCTGTCTTAGGTTCTATACTAGCTGTTATACCTGCAACCTGACTAGAGGGTTATCTATTTAAACACTCTGATCATAACCTAATTCCACTAAATGGGGTCTTCTAACTCAGTTACCTAAATTTTGTTTGTATCTTAGAACTTACCAACTTGGTTTATTCTCGAGATAAACCCATCAGAGCCTTCCATATCCTATTTTGGCTGACCTAATATCATAGTTGCCAAGGCTCCCACTCGCAGTTGGGGTTACTCCTATTTAATTGCTACACCCTTATAAGGTTCACTTCAACTCTGGCACCTCCATTTAGACTTCTCTTTTCTTCAGATTTTTAACCGGTCTTTCTCTTATTTCTAGCTGGCAACCTGGAAGAATTGGTCTCCCTAGGCATTAGGTGCTCTATGGGTATCCTTCTCTTGGTACACGCTTCTGGAGCACATGTTCTTTTCCTCCGGTTGGCAACCTGGTAGTTCAGCTAGTATGTTCCCTCACTTAAGGATCTAGTTACTTTGTTCTCTAGTCTTAGTCTCCAGTTTCAAGTTCGGTTTTCTTGTAGCACTGTCAAAAGTTTCTATTACCTTCTCGCTTGAGACTTTCTAAACGGGTTTTGATCATTGCAGTTTTCTTGATCTTTTATGCACCAAAGCTTCTATATGAATATAGTGTTACCAAGATTACAGGTTCTGGGACCCAACTGATTGACCACGACTATTACCATATCACAGGCTTATTTTTTTGAAAATATTATCTGTGGAATTCAAACTTTGGACCTGCTGCTTGGTAGGGTGATGACTAGACCACTTTACTAAGCCACTACACCCTATTTCAAGAATTATTAATAAATTACAGTAATTTATTTTAGTAAATTTTGAAGTTTGTATACAAGATTATATAACTTTAATACTAATATTAGAATCATTTATAGTAACTAAAGCTAAAGATTAGTTTTAATTATATGAGAGAACCATTTATAAGGCTAGTCAAAAGCAAATTAGAATTAGCTCAAATAGTTGAGAATAATATAATCTTGTATAAAGATTTGGGAAGTTGCAAATTACTAGAACAAGAAATTGTAACTAAGCAGTTAATTGCTCTACAAAATAGACTAAACAGTATACAAGTTAAAGAGGTAG